TTTTGTTTAATTAAATGGAATGGATAGTAAAATGATGGATGAGGTGACACATTATTTTTGTTTAATTAGAAGGAAGTGCAAGATGATTTTTGTATTCTTTTTACCAATATACCTTCATTATTTAAAATCATAAAAATTCTATATCTATTCCAAGTTTATATGAAGGTTATAAATGAAAAATACATATTTTTGTTAATGGTTGTTTCTTTCCTCTTCCCTCCCTCCTCAATCCCTCCCCTCCAAACAAACACAACATTAGGGCCCATTGTGGTGGAGATGAAGGTAGTGATGGCTAGTGTGGTTTTGAGGCCTTTGGAGACAAGGCGCTTACAAAATTGGAGCATAGGTTTTATGTGGTCTTGGCTTGGATAAGGAAGGACCAAAACATGTGCTCCATGTGACATCTTTTCCATCCCCATACTCTACTGTCGATTTCAATTATATTGTCTATATCTCTCTCTCACACACACACGGACAAGCATTTATATGTAGCTAAGTTGCTTCAGTCGAGTAGGTGTGTACTCGCTTTTCCTATTCAAAGATGCTCTGTCCATTCGTTTTCACATCTAGAATTATATTCAAAGATGCTCTGTCCATTCGTTTTCACATCTACAATTTTGTAAAAAGAGTACACACTTACTCTACTGAAGCAACTTAAATACACCATCTAATAACTTGCTTGTCCATGTGTGTGAGAGACAGAGCATCTTTGAATAGGAAAAAGAGTACACACCTACTCTACTGAAGCAACTTAGCTACACCATCTTATAAATTGCTTGTCCATGTGTGTGTGAGAGAGAGACAATATAATTGAGATCGACACGAGAGGATGGGGATGGAAAAGATGCGACATATATATATATATATTGTTGATTCAAATGTAAGTCAAAACACTGTTGGTAGCCTGGTAGTAGGTTCATTGTTATTCTACTGAAATTTATTAGTACTAAAAAATAAATAAAAAATTTGCTGCCATATGACAACAAAACCTACGCTAAAGAAATGCAAGGAGATGTAGCAGAAGTCAATGATTGTGGTTGAAGGCCATATGATTGCCAAAATATGGAAAGCTCCAGCTAAAGAGCTTTCAATCACATATTCAGAATTCTTCAAACTTGTTTATAAAGAGATAGCATGTAGCGTTCTAACTTTAGAAACATAATGGTATAAAAATTTTTTTACAAATTTTAATTTTTCAAAATAAAAAAAAGAAACTAATCCCTGCACATGAATTTTGAGCCACAAATCCAAAGAGAGAGAAGTAATGCAATTCAAAATAGTAATGATAGGGAGTCCGACAATCAGACACATCCTATTAAATTTATGTGAAAAAAAAAAAATGATGTTACGATGATATTATCATATTTAACAATGTCATAATAATTTATATCATCTCTTACTTACATAAAACAATATGATATATCGAACTTTCAAACTCTTTATCATTATTTAGTATAAAGAAAGACTATTTAACCTTCGTTACCCGTTAATAAGGTAGTGGTGAGAGGGGTTTTGTTCACAGGTCTTTGTCAGAGATCTTCAAATTAGATGTGAGAGTTATCTTGGAAGCTAGTTATTGGGATTGTCACGTCACATTGCATATAATTTGAATTGGGCATTCATGCATATACATATGGAGCATATAATGTATGCATTGCACCACTTACATGAGGAAAGAAAAGGGAAGTCATGAGAAAACTGTGTGTGGATGAAGAAGACCTTTGAAGTGCTTGTGGGAAGTGAAAAGAGGGTAATATACCAAATTTGAACTTCTCAAAGTTGGTAAAAACATGACGTTTGGTCAAATTTCCCAATTAAACCTATAAAAAAGTTATAAGATTTTAAAAAATAATAATAATAATAATTAAACTTCAAACATAATTTTATCATTCTTTTTGCACCAAATGCACCATTTCAAAAAAGTTTGGCCCACTTATTAATAAAATTGTTAATAACAAAATAATATGTTATATTTCATTAAATAAATATATCATTGATATGACATGCACAGCGCATCCAATATCTATTCATTAGAATTAAGTTATTGTATAGAAATTTTTAAGTTGTCTAAGACCTTCAAAGCACTGTCGCGGTGGTTGTCTATATATTTACATAGCATAATGAAAAAAGAATCAAACATTTGTATGTTTGAAACTTGAGTCCACTAGTGTTGTTGAATGCATGTCTCAGCCATTGTCTGTGTACAACATTTGTATGTTTGAGACTTGAATCCATTGCTGTTGAATTTGTCAGCCATTGTCAATGTACTGGCAAGTATTAGTGCACCGAAGAGAACTCCAATTCGTATGTTTGTCGCTTAATTAATGATGTTACTACAATGGAGATTAATTTGCCAGATTTTGGTTTTACAATTTTGAACTCCTAAAAAGGTAATTTGATAGAGCAGGAAAGTTTTGCCATGAGATTGTCGCCAGACCTAATATGAATAACTTTAATAAGATTCGTTTCACACAGATCTTGCTGTAAGTTTCTTTTATTATTTACTATAGAGAGTTACTAATTATTTGATGTATTGTAGGAGAAAAAATTTATTTTTGCCTATTACATCGTAGCAATGGGCACATTCAATTGTTCATTATCAGCGTGTGTAATATATGCACAATATGTGTATTACATAAACGATTTCAATGCGTCTATTGCACACACATCCAATCGTTCATTACTAGCGTGTGTATTACATGAATGGTCTAGATGCGCCGTTGCACGGTGCAACGAGTGCAAATAAATTTTTCTCGTATTGTAGGCCCATAAAAATAGTAGGTTTTTTTTTTTTTTTTTTTTTTTTGCCAACAATGATGGTATAAAGCCTTTTAAAACACTCCGGCATGTTTGGTACACGTTTTGTTTTTATATATTTGTTTTAGTCCGAAACAAAACAAGTGTTTTGTTGTAGAGTGCATGTTTTGAATAGTGATCGGAAGTATGTTTGGTGATGTCTATTTATTGCAAGATTTTTTGAAATAAAAATATAAAAATATGTTTGGTAAAAAATTGTTACAAGTTTGAAAAATATAATACACTGGATGGGCATTGGATTCCCTGCAAACAGAACACCTAATTGCCAATTATCCACATTGTTCTTGGTGTGAAACTTGACCTCTTGGTGGGCAATGTCACCGTCGGCATTAGCAATAAGTTAATGTAGGGGTGGCAAAATGGGTCAGAAACCATCAACCCGCCTATATCCACCCGTTTTTTAATGGTTATGGTGAACCATATTTAATTTGAGGGTCAAGATGGGTTGGATAATTTTTAACCACTTAATATGGATTGAATATGGTTAACCATATTCAAACCATATTTTACCCATCATATAATAAACACACAACACACATCTATTCTATTTTGCATTCAACTCATTATTGTCCAAAATATGGTCTAACTATACCATATAGATTGTTGTCCAAAATATGATACTATAGTATTATTTATTTAAATATTATCTAAAAATATAATGTGTGTGTGTGTGTGTGTGTGTGTATATATATATATATATATATATATAATTTCTTATAATATATAGTTTAATATAATAAACTAAAACCTATAAAATAAAATAACCGGATTAAAAATCGAGGTTAGAATTTGATTCTATATCCTTAAGACAGATTCGTCCCGCTATGGTGCTAACGGACTCAATGAAGTCTATCTCTCAGGATACAACGACTTGTCTTCCTTCGGTAGTAGCACTGCAAACCAAAGGAATAGGTGAACCGACTCAATGTAGTACTCTTTGACTCGAACTCGGACTCGGAGTGACTGACTAAGGCTCGAACTCAAATACTAATGCTTGAACCCACAAAGTAAAAAGAGAAGGAGGAAGAAGAAAATTCAGAAGAAGAGAAGAATTCTCTAAACTTGGTGTGTGACTCCAAATGGGGGTATCTATAGGAAACAATGTGCCTTTTCGAGTATGAGTGCAACCATGAGTCATGTTGGTTCATCACAAGTTGCAACCCTTTAAAAATAGATGCAACTCTTTGAAAAATAGATGCAACTCTTTAAAAAAAAAAACTAACTTTTAATTTAAATTCAAAAACAAACCACCCATTTAAATAAGCCCAGCCCAAAAATAAAGGTCCAATCCAAAATTCCATTTAGTAAAAGAATAATCGGACTTTACAATTAGGCCCAAGCCCAAATCCTAAATTTGGCTTATTTAAATTTAAATTGGTTTCAACATTTTTTTTCCATATGGGACAAACACTTCTCACATTTTGCATACCCATATAGGCTTATCAAAAAATTATATTTTGAAGCTAATTTCTCATTCACCCGAAAACGGATTTGAGAAAGTGAATATACCACGTTCATCTCCTTACAAAGAGAAACGTGCTCGTCTTGATATCCGCAAAAAAATCTTAGCGGAATCTATTCCAAATTTCATCCAAAGTTTATGTTTTTAACGCCCCCGTTTCCAACACTCATTTCTCACTCTAAAATTCTCTAACTCACAATCTTCTCTTTCTAAATTTGTCTCCCATCAATTCCCTCTCTCTAAGTTTCTCTCTTTAGAAATTTTTCTAAAAAAAATATATAATTTTAAAAATTAAAATAATTAAAAAATTGAAAAACAAAAAATAATAATTAATAAATTTACGGGTCATAACGGATTAACCTTGTTTATTTTCAACCTATCCATTTTAATACGTTTTGAACGAGTTAAATATAAATCTTAACTCATATTAACTCGTTCATTTTCAACTCAACTCAATCCGTCCATTTGCGACCGCTAAGGTAACGTAACGTGGTCCTAACAACTAAAAATATCCAATATCCCCGCAGTGGTCCTCACCCTCACTCGCAGTGTCCAGTCTCTCTTTCAGAGGTCAGACTGGTGAAGATGGGCGAGAGTGACTATTGACATCACTGCAGCTGTAAGCATTGAAAATGATTGTAAGAAATGACATACATATACTGTAAGTAATATATATATTTGGTTAAATGGTAAGTAACCTATCTTGTTTTCTTGTAGAAGTGCCAAAAGGTCATAGGCAAAGTCTAATACGTTCACCAAACCCTCTTATAAATTGCTTGTCCAAACGAGAGAGAGTGTGTGTGTTGAAATTGGAGAGGATGGAGAAGGAAAAGAGGTCATATGGAGCACATGTTTTGGCCCTTCCTTATCCAAGCCAAGGCCACATAAACCCTATGCTCCATTTCTGTAAGCGCCTTGTCTCCAAAGGCCTCAAAGCCACTCTAGCCATCACCACCTTCATCTCCAACACAATGGATCCAAAATCCGACTCGGTCCAGTTCGACACCGTATCGGATGGCTACGATGAAGGCGGCTTCATGCAAGCCGAGAGCATCCAAGCCTATCTCGAACGTCTAGAAGTTTCAGGCTCCCAAACCTTAGCTGAGCTCATCAAGAGGTACCAAAGCTCAGACCATCCCATCGATTGTGTCGTTTATGACGCCTTCTCGCCTTGGGCTCTGAAAGTAACCAAACAGTTCGGCTTACCTGGAGCCACTTTCTTCACCCAACCGTGTTGCGTTAATTACATATACTATTATGCGTATCACGGATTTTTGAAGCTCCCGGTCTCTTCGTTGCCGGTTTCCATTCCTGGGATGCCGTTGCTTGAGCTTCCGGACATGCCATCATTCATTTATGTGCACGGCTCGTACCCGGCTTACTTTGAGCTGGTATTGAATCAATTTCTTGATGTGGAAAAAGCTGACTACGTTCTTGTTAACACATTCTACAAGTTGGAGGATAAGGTGAGCTATACATATTATAAATCCTATAACAATTTTTTTTTTTTTTTTCTTTTTCTGCCAATGTTATTAGCTCCTCATATTATAACACACACATGCATACATGAGATTATTGTTATTTTTTCAATCAATCTCCAGACCCATGTCAATGGTTTTTGTCCTTTTTGAGCTTAATATGTAAAGTGGGTGTAAAGTAGTTTGAATAATGATTCTTGGACAAAATTAATAGTCTAATTGAAGAGTCTAATCAAGAGTTTTTTTTTTTTTTCTTTCAATAATTGATCTTATGATTGACTAAACTCTTCCATTAAATTAGTAAATCTAAATAGTAGTATTGTTTAAGTGATTTTGTTTTGACAAAATCAAACTTGTTTAGACCTACTTATACTGATATGAATCATCTCCAATAATTTCTCTCTTCAAATATTTTCGAGCCTAAATTTGATGGTTAATACACTATATCATCATTTTTGCTGAAATTAAATTGTGTATGAAATAATGGGCAGTTATATAATAATTTGTTGTGTGCTTTTATTCACAATAAATAGGTGGTGGACACAATGTCAAAAGTCAGTCCGTTGATAACAATAGGACCCACAATCCCATCATTCTACTTGGACAAGCGGGTCGAAAATGACTATGAATACGGGCTCAACCTCTTCCATTCAGACGGGTCCAACTGCACCCATTGGCTAAGCACCAAGCCGAAGGGCTCGGTTGTTTACATATCATTTGGCAGCATGGCCAACCTAGTACAAGAGCAAATGGAGGAAATTGCATGGGGCTTAAAGGGAAGCAACTACAACTTCTTGTGGGTGGTTAGGGATTCCGAGGGAGAAAAAATTCCTGAAAAATTTATAGATGAAACAACGTCAGAGAAAGGTTTGTTCGTAAAATGGAGTCCACAGCTGGAAGTACTATCGAGTGAGGCGGTGGGGTGCTTCTTCTCGCATTGTGGGTGGAACTCTGCCATTGAAGCATTGAGCTTGGGAGTGCCAATGGTGGTGATGCCGCAGTGGACGGATCAGACGACGAATGCCAAGTTTGTCCAGGATGTTTGGAAGGTGGGTGTGAGAGTTAGGGTTGATGAGAAGGGCATTGTGGGGAGAGAAGAAATTGAGGGTCATGTAAGGGAAGTGATGGAGGGAGAAAGAGGGAAGGAAATGAAAAAGAATGCTATGAAATGGAGGGATTTGGCCAAAGAAGCAGTTAGTGAAGGTGGGACTTCTGATTTGAATATCAACGAATTTGTATCTAAATTGATTAATTCCAAATGATGATGGTCACTGTAGATCAACTAAATTCAATAAAATAGACATTGGTGTAGATGATATAATTTATTTGAGGTGGAGTGTTCAACCATAATGTGTGATTACCATTATAATAAATAGTGATTGAAAAAAACAAAGGCAAAAAAACAAACTAAGCTGCAAATTTCAATTAATTAAGAAAAAGAAATATGTTTTTGGAGGGTAATTGAAAGTACAAAGAATTTCTCCCAATTGCAGAGAGAGAAATTTTACACTCCCAATGATTTCTAACCTATTTTCCTTCTCAATTTTTCTTATTTATAGACGGTTACAACCTCCTCTGAGCTGGGCCTTACTTGTTCTCTTTTACCTGGACTCAATTTCTCTCATCTTAACACTGGCTTCCGCAATGACTTCATGGATCTGGGCCCATCCAACGTGGACTTGCTCCATCCTGGCTATCCATACCTGACCCGTTCTTAACAATACGGATCATACCAAGCCCGGGTCACTTTGGTGTCCTCATCTGCCCCCAATAATCTCTCCCCTCATTAATGAGGATGAGATTATTGAAAAGACACAATCTTGGTCTGACGGCTCAAAGCGATGACATGAGGAATCGAACGGCTGGCACAAAAATCCAAACTTCGAGATCTGCAGCGCCACTTTTTGCCTTGACCTTTTGAATTCCATGTCGCCTTCACCTCTTCTCCTTATAAACCCCGATCTTTTCAAATTTTATCTTTTTTTTTCATACCCTGCTTCTATTCTCCGCTGCCTTCCTGCACATTCCGGCGATCCTTCTTCAATTTCTCTGGCGAGTTTTTCCTTTACGATTTTGGCTACTGTGCTTTTGCTGTGTTCATCACAAACTTCCAAGGTCAGTTTTTTTTTACCTCTCTCTTTGAAAAAGACACCTTAATTGCCTAGGACTCCTCCCCTTCTCTATGGCTCCCTCTAATCTGAACGCCATTCGATCCAAGAATAGCATTCCCAATGACGTTTCTCTCAGGGTCTATCCAATAAACTAAGATGGGAGATCTGGTGAGGGTTTCCTTCCTGGGGAAGTTTTATTCTCTACCGTTTATTTGAACGTCGTTAGGTTCCCCTTACACCCATTCTTTTGTTATGCTTTCAACAAATTGGGGCTCTGCCCTCTACAGGTTAACCCCAACTTCCTTAGGGTAATTTCAGTCCTCATGCTCTTGAATTGTGACAGGGGTCTCAACCTCAACATCATCGACCTTCTCCTCTGCTACCGGATTAATAAAGTTACACAAAATGATCTGTACTATCACTTCTTCCCTATTGACAAACGGTCGATCTGCACTGATAAGAACTCATTTGAAAAAGGGTGGAGACAAAACTTGATTGTAGTTAGTGGGAATTGGCGGACTCCCTTCCATCCCTTCTTCCTTTGGAGCATGCTCTGTCTATGACTACAAAAAACTGAAAACACATCCTACTGAATGCCATTATGAAAGTTGTCTTCCCCGTTTTTGCACTTTTCTTTGTAGATGCTGTAATACCCCCACATTTTCCACGCATAAGTTGATCAGGCTTATACATGAAAAATGAGGGATATCAAAAACAGTTGGTAATATATAAGCATAGAATACAAAATGATAATAATAGAAGAACTCAGACAGGAAAGGAAAAACTAAATAATAAAACAATACTCCTTTATACAACTTGGAAATCCTATGTCAAGAATCCCTAAATATAAACCTGAAAGTTCAACGTCGGAAGTAAATAAAACTGAAATCAAAGTAATACATAAAACTTCTACCCTGAACAAGACCGTAAGAGTAGATGAGTTCGGATGGTGGTCCCACACTGCTAATCCTCAACCTTGAAACGAGTACTGACCGTGTCCTGAAATAACAACAATGGTGGGTCAACCCCACGAGCAAGTCCTCTCTACTATGACCCAAATCAGAGAATCAAATAAATTAATCATTATTATTCGGAAGTATACTATATCTGTATACACCCTAATGAAACTACACAATGTATAATATGACCTCAACCAGAATAGACGGTGATCACTTAGACCTACACAAGGTGGTTAAGTGTCTCCTTTCCCTACCTAGGAAATCAGCTATTAATACATGGTGCACGGTACTGACAACACAGACTATAAGTCCTACATAGTGATAACACATCTCAAGGTACTAATGAATATACTGAGCATATCACTTAGGCATCACATGCCAATAATATTAAACCACATACCCCGACAGTCACACAGCTGTCTATGGCAACAAATGCATAAGGTATAAATGAGTCTCAACTTATTAGTCAGCTCACATGGTTCTATATGGCAACACATCCAGATAATATAAATGCGACTTAATTTATTAAGCAGTCCACTTATTACCTGAAATGCACACAGCATAATAATAATGATTTATATATCATTAACAATATAAATAATCCTGTAATGTATAATGGACAATTAATATGAATCAAATCATGTAATCATTTCATTTAACATTAAATAACAACACAATTAATATTCAAATATGTTATTACATTAATTACATCTGTTTCATAGCGGTCCGTACTGTAAACCATATAATTAATGTTTGGAAATATTAATCGGACATAATAATAATTAACGGGTAATAAAAATAATAATTTAATGTCCTGTTAAACCCGTAACTACCAACCCTAGGCCAAAAAATGCAAGTTGAAGGTTCTGAAAATTACAAAACAGTCCCTAGGGGTATTATGGACTTTTACAGCAGTTGTAGGGGTCCCACACGCGCCCTCACACGCCTCCCAGAGCTTCCCACACGCCCCGCCACCTTCCTCACACGCGCCCCCACGCCCGTCTGGCATCAGCCACGCGCGCACTAATGGCTCCTGCTGACGCGGCGTATTCTGATTAGTCTGGTGTATGGTCTTGCTATGGGCGCACTACACTGGATGAATCTACCTTATCTTCACCTAATCCAACAGTTATTGATCCGGGTGTACTGCAGTAACATGGACTGCGATGCACCGGATCAATCTGATCCTACTAATGGCCAAGATACTCGTGTACACTAACTTATAGTGCGCCACATCACACCGGATCACTCCGGTCACCTCCTCACTGCCGGTGGTCGAAAACCTCACCGGAGGCTCACCGGAAATTTCAGAAAAATCCCGAAAAATTCCAGAAAATTCTAAAAAAATCCCTAAAGCCTTAAATAATTATTTTTAGCTATATTTAATTACATAGGCTAATAAAATAATATCTAACACCTTAAATAATTAATATTTCACTAATTTAATAAACTAAAATTATAATTTATTAAAATCCTAGCATGTTTTCCATACTCCAAAATAATCTAAATAAATTAAATAATTAATTTATGGATTCAAAGGAGAAAAGTAGATAATAACTTGTCTTATGGATTTGAAACAAATCCGCCGGTTGCGCGTAGTCGGGTAAAATCACCTACACCGGTCCAAGCTTCCTTCTCTCTCCTTTTTCCTTTCACTCTTATAAAATTGCTCACTGTTATCTTTTTATTTCCTATCCTACTTACGTGAATCCCCTTCAATTGATAAGCTAACTAACATATATATATATATACTAACTTATATAATATAAATATTACAAATATCTAATTTATCATAACTATCAAAACCTTCCCACCTATATTACTTTAAGCCATGCAATCTAAGTCAAATAATTGGCATAAAATTCCACCATAGTAAATAAGATTCTATTCTAATCTCAAAGTTACATCATAACATAATTTTAATAATAATAATAATATTATTATTATTATTATTACATAATAATACACTACTTTACAAACGTACTACTTTAATTAACTAATATTAATTAATATAAAACATAACCAATAAAATTTCTAAACTAACATTATTTAATATATAGAATATAAAAATCAATATTACATGCACAAATAAATAAAATTAATTTAATAACTTAACATACACAATTTAATAGGTGAATAAATTTACTCATTAAATATACAGAATTAATTTAAATAAACTCTTTAAAAATACGGGGTATTACATTCTCCCTCCCTAATAAAGGAATTTCGTCCCCGAAATTTACAACATACCTGTACGAAAGAGCTCTGGATACTTGACACGGATAATATATTCTCGTTCCCAAGTAGACTCTGTCTCACTGTGATGACTCCACTGTACACGTACTAATGGAATAGTCTTCGTGCGTAGTATCTAATTTCTACGATCGAGAATACAGTAAGGTTGTTTTAAATAAGTTGCATCAGATTGCAACTCATTTTCACCCACATCAATGTGTTGATATCTGTCTTTTTCCCGTAGAAATTTCCGCAGCATGGATACATGAAAAACATTATGTACCCTATGAAGATTATCTGGTAAAGCCAGACGATAAGCTACTGTCCCAATCCGATCTGTAATCATAAAAGGACCCACAAACCGAGGCGATAACTTACCCTTTGACTCAAACCGCATTACTCCCTTTATGGGTGAAACCTTAAGTAAAACCTGATCACCAACCTTAAACTCCAAAACACGAGTTCGATGGTCAACATAACTTTTCTGTCTGCTTTGGGCTGTACGCATCCGATCCCTAATGATAGCGATCTTTTCTGACGTGTCCTTAATAAATTCAGGACCCAAAAAGCTCTTCTCGCCAACTCCAAGCCAACAAACAGGAGACCTACACTGTTTACCGTACAAAGCCTCAAATGGTGCCATACCAATAGTTTTCTGATAACTATTGTTATAAGCAAACTCTGAAAGCGGTAAATATTCCTCCCAATTTTCCTTAAAATCAAGAACACATGCCCGCAACATGTCTTCTAAAATCTGATTAACTCGCTTAATCTGTCCATCTATCTGAGGATGATAGGCAGTGCTAAGATGAAGTTCTGTACCCAAAGCCTGCTAAAAGCTCCTCCAAAATCCTGATACAAAGTTCGGATCTCTATCTGATACGATGGACAATGGTATACCATGAAGTTTCACCATTTTTGCAATATAAAGCTTAGTATACTGTTCTGACGTAAAGTTTAAACGAACAGGCAGAAAATGAGCGGACTTGGTCAATCTATCAACAATGACCCAAATAAAATTGTGATTATGATATGAAGTAGGTAA